TGGGGAGAAAAAAACAAAAAGGTTTAGGGGGAGAAGTTTTAAAAAGAGAAACATTGAGGGGACAAGATTTAGCAGATAATTCTATCACTTATTAATTAAATATGTCTGGTTCTGAGAAACCTTAAGAGTACTTGTGCTTGAACATGACTCTCAAGAGTGTTTTTTGAATGTGACACCTCAAAAGCATAGATATATTGACATTATTCTCTCTGTTTTCTTTCTAAGAAGTGATTAATGACTTCAGTAATGTGAAACCTTTGATGTACTTGTACATCAACATCATCTTCAATATCTTCTGTCCAAGAAGAGATTAACCAATATCTTCTCAAACACTATCAACAAATTTTAAAACAGATAAAACCCTGACATAATTCTGTACAAAGAAATTTATAGAAGTGACAGACAAAGAAGAGAACAATCGATCAGATGTCTGAAGTTAAATATTTAAAACAAATTTTACGTGTAAGTTATACCCTATCAGTGAATTGCCACTTGCCACAGTTGAATGATTTAGAAAAAAAAGGGAAAAATCTTTATCTATTGCTTTTAGGCTTTTGTTTCCTTTATAAATGGACTTTCACCTAACAATGATAAAATATGCTGTAGGGTGTTTTATGCAAAAAGCACTAACTGTTCTCAGTCAAATTTATTCTAAAATGGCTGCAATAGTGGCTTTTATCAGTATTCCAAACAAATGGAATGTAAAGGATTGGCAATATGTCAAACACTATGCTGTAACATGATCACTCAACCACTACAGGTAGCAAGATCTTTCATTAGCATCCCTATGAAGCAGATTTTGTTACTTTCGCCAGGGGCACCACAAAGAGACATTTTTAATTAGATTGTCAGCATCTGTACACCCCGAGAAATTACCAACTACAGGTGTGGCTTCAAGTGTGATTAAAAAAAAAAAAAACCTCACCTAAGTACACACTGGGATATTTATTTAACTGTATTTCAAGATGTTTGTATTGATATGAGAGCATGGGTGGAATTACTTCAAAAGTATTCAAAGAGCAATTATATTTTAGCAACCTAACCTTGCCATTCGGTATTTTTTTAACTGCAAAAGAACCAATATGACAGAATTCTGGTGAAGTACGGTCACTCAGAATTAGCCTGAAGATTGAAAAGCGAACCAAACTTTCCAGAAAAATGTGCAGAATGATGCAACAAATTGTATCGAAAATGCAAATATTGGATCGATTATAAAGAATAAGTTTACGCACTTGACTCTTGATGGCAAAGCCACTTAGAACGAAAACAGTAAATTTTCAGTTTGCGTTAATATTGGCCGTAATAGATATAGTGTACTCCATCAAATTTGTACGACTTCAGGGATTTCACTGTAATTAGTTAATAAATACCTTACATCTTTGACACGATCGACGCGAGCGTCACTCTAAGGATTTTTGAACGACGACTTTGTCACGCTTGCTGAGAGAGAAAAAGTACTATTTACTCAAGATCAAATCTAACAAACTTACTGGCCACAACTCCGATTCTTCGTTCTCGGGTTTCTGAAGCGTCATGACCAAAACTCCAGGTGAATCAAATGTCCAAAATGACTCATCCGGGCATACATTGCCGTAAAACTCGCCATCGATGATAGGGGCATATCCTTTTAGGCCAAGAGTCCATCGCTTCGTAGCCAACTTGTTCACAACATCCCGCTTTTTTGCCGTTACTGGAATAGACACAAGGACGGTCATCGCGCCCTCCTCTTCTTCCGACCAACTGTACGAAGAGGTTGTGCCATAGCCAAAGCCCATAGACTCGGGGTACTCCTCCTTCTCCCTTTTGTATCGGGAATACATCTTTTCAATTTATTCCTCCGAAAGTAGCTTTGCTTTCTCCATTCCAACGCCGTGAAGAAAGCCAGTTTTGAATTCCTCGAAGGTCATAATTTTTGACCTGTTGGATTTCGACGACTTTTTAGTTTCATGAGAATCGTCCGTGATTTGACACAAAGCTTCAATTAGATCACCGTCGGTTGCCTCAAGGGCTTCCTTGGCTTTTTCTTCATTAATTCCACCGATTTGCGACAGAACCAGGGAGCTGTCTAACAGAGCTTCCCCGGTTGCCTCGTCGTCGGGGTTGTTTTCTTTGTGCCAAAGCATTTCCTTCACCCTTGTCAAAAGCTCCGGTGATTTTTCCAAAGATTTGTTCGCAGTCGCACCACCATCGCTAGACCAAGCGTGCTCGATGAGAAACACGTCGCCAAATTTTTCCAAAGCCCGTCTGGCGTGTAGAGACCAATGACCCAAAGAGACGAATTGTTCGTCTTTGTGCAGCTCAAAAGCCTCTGAGGCGTCGTAGCTTGGAATAGGCGCTAACTTTTTGTAAAGTCTTTCCCATAAGTGTTCCGGTAAACCGATTGATAGTAGCTGTGGTCGATGAAGAGCAAGGAAATCTTCCCAGCCAATGCACGTGGTCCTAGCAGAGTTCGACGCCATTTTCGCACCCTCCCAACAATTACTTCGAGGTCGTTTATTTCACACAGGACCGATCAATATTAGATTCTCAGTACTTGTAAATAAAGATTTCTATTGATAACTAGTACGAGAAAACTGATATGGATCACAGAAGTATTCGCCCCAGTCCCCACTGAGTCGAGATCGAAGACGAGATACCAAATGTGACTAGGTAAATGTTGTGGGTTTCTCCTTCGCTGCTGCAAAGAAAATCATGAATTTTCCCGAGAAAATTACGTTGAATGAGGAAGATCCTTATAATATTGGAGGCTATAGCAGCTCAGACGATGACAGAAACGAGAGGTACTTCAGTTAATCTCAGCTTTGCAAATACTCCCTCGGACTTCGATGAAATGTTTTTACAGCGTACAATCGATCGAAACTTTAACTCGATCGCCTGGTTTCTGTGTTATTTTCCGGTAGAAAACTAACAAAATCTTAACAAAGACGTGCGTCAATTGTTAAGAAAGATGCCGGTATTGTCGCCGTCTCGATTCTGCTCTGTAAAAATAGATATGTTCAGTCGCATTTTGTTTCCAAAAAATGTGCGAATGACGTAAAATGAAACGCCATGCGACCCTTAGTGACGATTTCCTGGTGAAGAAGGAATGACAAGGATTTTCACGGCTTATCCATCTGTCGTTTGGTTTAAAATTTATCCTTTTCTTGGTAGCAAATTCTACCTACTGTGCAAAATTTTGGTGCGCATTCAGCTTCTGTGGTTATTTTTGCGAGTTACAATTTTTCCCTCCACAAGTGTAAGAAACAGAACAGACAGCTCAACAATAGCTAGAATAATGAAATCTAACTGCCTAAATGGATACAGAACCTTCGTCAATCATTGTTGACAGGTTTTGCTGATGTAAGTTGTCTGGCGGGAAAGAAACGTTTACTTAAAGAAAGAAAATTTACAAGAAGAATAAACTGAAAAATCACAAAATCTGGAGCTTTCTGCAGTTGGTGCAATGGTCACAATTTGTTCTGATGGATATTTTACCTGTACTCTCGATCTGAATGGAGAATTTTCTCTTGAATTGTGGTTGTGATATCTCTGTCAGTACGTGGTTTAATAGCATGTGACTGAGAAATCTCCTTGTTGCCTGTCATACATACACACAAGTCACATACATACATACATACATACATACATTCAGGCATGCATGCATGCATGCATACATACATACATAACTTTATTTGATAACGCAGGTTAAAAGTTTACGCAACTTTACAGCTGATGTGGACCTGCCTAAAGTAATTAGTCTATAATTATATGAAATACAATTATGATACAATTTATAAGTTGAATAAATTAAGTAAACCATAAAATTTTAGTAATAGTGAAAATTTGGTTTCATGTTTTGTATAACATTACCTCCCTTTTCAAAATTAATATTCATGACATTTGCTTGGATTGTTTTAAGTCATATTTAAAAATAGATAAATTTGGAGAATCTTTAAGATTATCTGGTGGTGCATTTCATGCCACTGCAGATCTATGAGCAGAGGACCTACTACCCAGTTCGGTTTTGGGCCCATTAAGTACAACATTCAGGGATTTCCTTAGGTTATAGCTGTTAGAGTTCTTGGTCACCAAACAATTAATTTCCCGCAACCCTAAATTATAATAAGCATTATATGTGTTAGTTAAGATACGGAGCTTATATAAATACTCTAAAGGCATTGTCACCTTTTCTTAGCCCTCTTTTGTTTCAAAGGCAGAATTCTTCCCTATCTTATTTGTTTCTTATTATTACATTCAATCAACTCAATTATCCTCACCCTTAGTCCTGAGAAATATAAGCCCAACATATAAATAACAAACCTTTCCTAATCCTGAAGAATCCGCAGTGAAGGCCATGCTTACATTTTTGGATTTGGCAGCTTTTTTAAGTTGTTATTCTCAAAGGGTCACTTAATTTCTTGCAAATTATCTTGTTGCCATTATAATGAAATCGGGGCTAGTTTACTACAGAATCATAACAAGCTGATACAAAATTCTTTGTTTTGGAATGCTATTTCCAAGGAGGAGTGAGGGAATGGGAGTCAAGATTGTGTAACTTTTCTTCACAATGTATCAGATACCACCACCTATAATTTATTCTTTATCTTTAAGTCTGGATGCATGGAAGCATAACCTAACTTTGTGGTCTGGAATATATCACCAAACCTCTTGTCACCCAGTCCTAAATGTTCTCCCAGAAAAATGAATTGAAATTTGAAACTTATTTGACATGATTTCTAGTGTTCTGAAACATGTTAACTTTTTTTTCTCCCAGAAATTTATTCTTAATATTAATGTTCTCCCAGAAAAAGGAATTGAAATTTGAAACTCATTTGACATGCTTTCCAGTGTTCTGAAACATGTTAACTTTTTTTTAGCCAGGTGTTGATGTTATCAGTCCAGAAATACTTCTTTTCTGTCCTTGATCACTATTCAAAATGTAGCCAGTGCCTGACAGCCCTACCAGCTTTTAATGACAACCTGATCAATGTTTGATTGTAATTTTTTTTCCATTACCAGCTCTGGTGATGAGTTTCTTCCAGAGGGACTATTAAAAGATAAAAAGCAAGAAACAGAAGGCAGCAGCGAGGATGAGTTTGAAAAAGAAATGGATCTGGAGCTAGAAAGTGTGATGAAAAGTTATACAGAAGAACATGGTAATCAGTTTTGTTTAACTGACCCAGGATCTAATTGTTAATTCTCTCCTTTAGCTGTAGCACATTTTCTTATAAAATAGTTATGAGAATCTGTTGTTAGATCAAGATGACAGCTTGATAAGTTTGAGTATTCTCAATACCTGTTTGTTGAATAATGTGTGGATATTATATATAGGGAGAAGTTTCACGTTGATCTTCAATTATTGCTTTTGCAGGAATTCTACTGTCATTTCATATGTATAATGAGTCATTTTGTAAAACTCCAGAGGATAGTTTCAGTTAAATTTAAAAAAAGCAATTGTTCTCTGCCAGAGAGAGCAACACCTAGAAGAAGAAAAAAAAAAACAATAGAGGTTTTCCACAGCAGCCATGTTGGATGGTAGGAACAATGAAAATATTTTGCATAAGAAAGAAATTTTTTTCCCATGGGTAAAATAATCTATTGTTCCTGCCATCCAACATGGCTGCTGTGCAAACAAACAGAACCAAAAAAATCAAGGATAAATATGGTGGCAGAAGTGAGCACAGTCTGAAAATGATGAATGTGATTGATTCAGACTAAATTTTAACAAAAGATACCAATCGTGTTGTAGATGTACTTCCTTTGCCTGAAAAACTTTGTTCTTGATTTATTGTAGCAGTCTGACTTATGAGATGTTTAATATCAAAAGTGAATTTTTGTATTGCACAAGCTTAAATTAATATTTTCTTTTATTATTGAATGCAGATGTTTTCTTTTTCAGAGGACCAAGGTAGTCAGAATGAAAACATTACTCCAGGAAAAAGTGTTAATGATGCAACTTCAAGCAGTGACAACACTCGAAAGGGTGATGCTGGCGAAGACAACAGTACCATGTATTCTGAAGACTACTTCAGCTCAGGTTCGGACGATGAACACCAAGTTGGCGGACAGGCTTCAAAATCCAAGGAAAGAAGGAAAATTTTAACAAATGATGAACTGTTGTATGATCCAGATATGGATGACGAAGATGAACAATGGGTAATAAGACAAAGACGGGACCACAGGCAGAGAAGTATGATGACTAAACACATCTTAAATTTGATGAATGGTTAAGGTAGCAGTGTCCCGTGCCAGATTTCAAGTCAACTTCATTTTCAGTGCATCTTAAGCTGTTACTGATTCAGTTGCTGTGGCAAGGGGGATGAATTAAAATTGTGGCAAACATTTGCAGCTTCCCCAAACTGGTGACTTGCTCTCAACAGTCATGTAATTTTACAGTGTTTATAGTCTAAGGTTTTAGTGAGACAGCTTGAAGGCCGTAAGACTGGGTTCATGCCATACGGAATATTGGGAAAGTCTTGCAAATTTCCACAGAGGCGGATCCAGGAACTTTTGATTGGGGGGGTCCAAACTTTGGTTCAGAACGGAATGTTGGACTCTTTTGAGGCAAATTACTTCTCCCCCACACCCCCTCCCACCACTCGCGGTTGCTCATTATAAGTTCCTTGGCTACTTACCGTTTACTTGCATTCATTAAAAAAATAAACCAGTTAAAAGTGATATACAATCCTGTCCATGTAAGAGTTTCAGTCTCAAAGTTGCAAGCGTCAGGTCTGGTAGGGGGGGTCCGGATCCCCGGACCCTCCCCCTGGATCCGCCACTGTTCCAGTACTATTTTCTCGGTCTGGAAAGTCTTTGTTTCATTCTAATGAAGCAATAAGCAGTATTGCATTGCTACCACTTTTAAATGGGATGATCATTGTTGGGAGCTCCCCCTTAACATCTCTTTAGGCTACCTAGTAACAGTTTTCTGGTACATGTACCTATGATTCTCTTTTTATCCAGTGACCTTTGAATCCTCTTCTCTTTCTATCCATGTTCATATCGGAGATCTTAGAATTTCCCCAACTGTATTATGCAGAATTCTCACACTAACCTTTGATGGCTTGTGAAGCCATTTGTTCTCTTCTAATTCAGAGGTGGAACCCATTTTTACCAAAATGTAGTTATCTCCCTGTTGTAAACCCCTTTCACTTCCATGAGTGACCAATATCAGTACTATATTAAGTGCTGTGATATCAATATTAGTACTATATTAACTACTACATCAATATTAGCACTATATATAATATTAAGTACTATATCAATATTAGTACTATATTAAGTACTAATAACTTAATTTAATATTTATATTGCGCAAATTAACATGTGGATATGATCAAATGTGCATCATAACACTTTTCGGGGGACTTTGGCCGGACTGCATCAGTAGTTTATATAAACAGTCGAAGGAAACTTATTTGAAGATGCCCCCTCCAGCCAATTCCCAGTATACAGGCCAGACCACATCACAGTAATTTCGTGAGTGGGTTCTTTAACATCCCCTGCCTAACCAAATTAACTAATTAATTAATAGATTCAGAAGATGGGACCTACAGTTTATTCATCCTTATCCAAGAAGACTAGAATGTCTATCCATTTCTTGATATTATAGAAAGGTAGCGCATTCTCCTCAGTAATTTTAAGACCTCGAGTGTTGATCCGGCAGGGGCTCGAACCATCGACCTCGACCTCCCGCACAACAGTCCAGGGCTCTAACCAATTGAGCTTACTATATTAAGCCAACATGTGATGAGAATGAAGAAAATATCAATTAAAGAGTAACTGTTTCATTTAGCACCAAATTCTCAGAGCTCATTTTGTAAGAGGTGCATTAGAGTGAAAGGGTTACTTATACAAATATGCTACTGCATTACATCATGCAGACCCTACTGCTGTGGTGGAATTGCATTGACAGTCCTTGCCATGTGTATTTATTGTAAATGAACCAACTGATAAATAAGTTGAGTATTCTCATTACCTGTTTGCTGGATAAAGTGTGGATATTATAAGGAGAAGTTATGTCTTAATCACCTTTGGGAGTCAGATGTTTAAAGAAAGATTCATTTAGATGCCTTTAAGTGTAACCATGAAATGTTTTTATTCCAAACAATTGTAGTACAGCAAAGAAGCATGGAAGAAAATCAAGACGATTCTTCAGCAAATAGAAAGAAAACAAAAAAAACCAAACAGAATGTGGAGAAAGTTCCTTCAAGTGATGCTATATTGTCATGTCCAGCATGTATGACAACATTATGCATTGACTGTCAGAGGTAAGTTGTGGAGTTTTCAGTGGGACAAAAGTTTAATTCATTTAATCTCTTAGTTTGTAAGTTACATAATTTTTAAAAGGGGGTTTTGAGTCTGGTAAATTGTTCATATTTATTCTCCTGTACTGCAGTTAGGATTACCTTTATACTGTTGTCAGTGAGACGTGTCTCATTAACTGGGTCTAAACTCTGTAGTTCATGAACAGTTTCTTTTTCGGTTGATGTTGGAACAGTAAATTATGGTACTGTTTCAAACATTTGAGACTTGGTTATGATTTTTTTCTTTCAACTGATTGAATTGTACTCTGTTCTTGAAGAGAAACCTTTGCATCATCACTTTGTTGATTTTGTTTTTATTAGTAACAAAATTCCTTTTTGTTTCTGATGCATGATGAAAAAAAAACATGAATTCTGCTGGTTAAACATCCTTTTTTTTTTCTTTTTTTCAAAAATTCCTTCACTTTGAAAAAGGTTCATAGTAACCCCTGAGACAAGGGAACCTTTCAGTTGCTTTAACCCACTACACCCTAACATCAGTATGCATATTCTCCATACTGTTTGTTGTGGTTCGGGTAGAAACTAGGAGGCGTAGTCGAAGAATAAATGCACACTTTAATCGCGTACATGAGCCAATGTAGAAAGAAACTACAAATTGTATTGTGAGTATCGTTTATATACACTAGGGGGCCTGGGAACTAATAAGCAACCGCAAAACCGGAAACCGAGGCGATACTACGACACTGTTCTCTATACATTTCCCACAGTGCTGGTTGGGAGAATCAAGGGTTTGTTTAGTTGTTGATCATTTCCATTATTCTCATGACCTTATTCAGGGGTAATGCTGTCAGGAGAAATTAGATGCTGATCACTCTTGGAGTTTAAGTGTTAATTTACGTTAGGTAGTTTTGGAAAGACTTACTATAGTTTGGAATCTTTTCTTCCTTGCAGACATGACATGTACAAAAACCAATACAGAGCTATGTTTGTAGTGAACTGTAAAGTTGTTGAAGATGAAGTACTAAGATATGAGCCATCTCAGCAACAAAAGCCAGGGAAAAAGCGAAAGAAACCACAGAAGGGAAAACTTGTTCAACTCACAAAGGACAACATGAGCTCTGCTGATAGCTCTTTGTCAGAACGTTATCACCCTGTGGCTTGTACAGAATGCAACACAGAAATAGCTGTATATGATAATGATGAGGTTTATCACTTTTTCAATGTTCTGGCAAGCCATGCTTGAGGATAGATGATAATAAATAATTTATTTTGTAAGCAGAACTTAGTTGTTGTCTACGTCGAAAGCAGATTGAGGTTAAGGGGGGGTTTACATGTAGAAAGATGCCTTTCACCTGCAATTTATGTCCTCCAAAGATTTCATTAGCAATTATTTTTACTTTTTGCCATACAATTCTTATGATTTCAGTATGGAGAATTTGTTAACAATAATCCCCAATTGTAATCGATATTTTTCTTGATTCTCACCACTTGTCTTCTTGATTTTGTATTGATATTGCAAGGAGAAATTCTCTCTCTGCCACTCTTGGAAGTTTAAGGGTTTAAGTATGGGAATTGGGCTGAAGCATTGAAAATCGGTGAGAGGTATGCTGTTTTTTTCTAAACAAGCTCAGTCAAGTGCAATTTCTGGGGGAGATCTTAGTAAGGGTTGCTGAATTAAAGGTAGCCGCCAAGAACAATTTCTTGCAAGATGGGGCAGTTTCCTTGAAATAAAAGATTTATAGTGTTCTTTATCGTTGCTTTTCTTTTTAATTTAAATTTCTTAGAAACAGATATCCCTAAAAAATACTATACACCCTTGGAAATACAATGCGGTCAATCCCATCTTTATCAGTGCTTGTGTGTTCCTTTCTTAATTCTACAAATTAAATTTGAAGAAAACGTTTTCTCCACAAATCTCTCTTTTTTTTTTCTTTTTGGAAGATACATAGGCAACAGTTACACCTCAAGGAGTGGCCCCATAATACTGGTTGGCCGCTTTAGAAAGGTTCCAGAAAATAGGAATGACGCAAAAGGATAAAAATCACTGACTTACATGTAAATCAAAAACTCGCTCAAAAATACTACTAGCATTGAATTCAGGAAGAAGAAAAGGATTCAATTTTACTTGAAATGTTATTCTTAGTTTCTTTTGAGTGGTTCCTGTTTCAGTACTGCTCAATACAAGTGTAGGTCAATACAAACCGGCCGCTGGGCTCGGAGATTAATAGAGGTGAAAATCACAGTAATTATGGGGTAAAATTTTCGGGACTTCAATGACCCTATGTAAAGAAGAAGAGGAAAGAAATGCAACGGTGCCGTAAATGTACGTAGAAGCTTTGTCGTCACAGTACAGTTTGACGAAAACGGACAGAAGAATTTACCTTGGAACGTAAACTTAGATGATAAGTTTTCAAGCAACTGAAATATTAAGCCATCGATTTTAAATCAGGAAAAATATCCTGACATCGTCTCTAAACTGTGATGAAATGATGGTTACGAACCGATTTGTTTGGGGTATCTGTGCGATCATGCTTTCAGCAAAACGTCTCCTACGCATTTCGTTTCGTAACAAAATTTGATTTTAACCCGTCAAAGTTCTATATTATTTAAGCAAAACGTCTCCAACACATTTCGTATCGTAACAAAATTTGATTTCAACCCGTCAAAGTTCTATGTTATTCTTCCTTGTTGTAAGGTTGTCCTCATGGTTCGGCTCATGTCCCTCGACGTAACCAACTTTTGGATACTTTTCTAAGTATAGCTTCTTGAAGACCATATCTAGGCGATTGAGTTCAGCTTCCGATAGATCCTCCTTGTGGATAAAAATCAAAATAAAGAAGAAAGCGGGTAAGAAAACAAACACAAACCAATAAAAGAAAGGATATAAAATGATACTTAGCAGAGCGAGGTTTTGATCCTCGGACCTCTGGGTTATGGGCCCAGCACGCTTCCACTGCGCCACTCTGCTCCACAAGAATGTAAAGGGGAAAGTTAAACTAATTATATATATGTATGACGTCATTGTAACCTCACCAAATTATCATTGAGATCTTCCTCTGCCATGGACCATTTGGCTACAGCTCTAGATGCATCCTTGCCAGTGAACTTGTTGTACGATCCTCCAGGTCCATAAGCTTCTACTCATAGAGAAGAAAGAAGATATAAATGCGATAAAAGTGTGAGCCAACTTAGTCATCCACTGTCAAGTGGTGAATCGAATAATAGGCAACAGTTATTAGAGAATACCGAGTTAAGTCTTACTTTTGGATTCAGAGACATCAAACACAACGCCTTTCATCGCTACATAGATGGGAAGTTCAGGCTGAAAGCAAAAAAAAAATGATGAAGTAAACTTTACACAAATTAACCAAGGCGTAGATCATGTTCAGTCGGTCATTGGCAGTCAAAAGAAAGATTAGATATCAGATATGTCACGTAATCTTTCGGGGGATTTCAATAACCTTTGCAGATAACAACTGATGAATAACAAGCACATCGTTGAGATCAAAGGCATTCAAATCACCCGACTTAAAAGCATAAAACTTTTCTTACATTCTTTCCGTCGTATTGCGATAACTCGTCCTTCGTGAAAACTCTTGGCCCATCCAGACTCGCGTCGTTTCCCAATTCCTCAGAGAACGGCGAGTGAATTAAATCATCCTTAAGAGTGATATCTACTGCCGCTAAAGGAATAATAAGGCTCAACAAAAACAGGAGCTGAACGAGAAAAATTTGCTCCATTTTGTCAACGATAGCCGGAAAATTTACTCTTGCGTGACAAATCTACGAACGCACTTAGCATTTCATCACGTGACCGGAAGTGAAGCTAAATCATTTTCCCGCCATTTTGCGTTTTGCCTCTGCCGGCGCTCGTCGCAAAGTTGTTTTGCACCTGGCGGAGCAATAAACGAAACTAAATTCCTGAAATATTTTCCTTTAATATTGGCCACAAAACATCTGTGTGTGAACTTCGTAAGTAACGATATATTCTACCGTTTATATAAGATTAGTTACCCTTGTTGATAAGATAAGAGTTTTTAGACTAATTGATAAATCTGTATTTTTAGCCTGATTGGTTACCTTTTTCGACTTCCAAACAAATGATGTGAATAAATTCGAAAAGGGAGTTTGAGGTTAAACCTATCAATAAACTCTTCTAAAACAATAATAATAAAAATAATAACAATAAACAATAATAAAAAGTTATAATGGTAATAAAATAAATTTGAAAAGTTTTGATGAATAGAAAAAGAACAAAAAAAAGGTTATTGCGAACGACTCTATTTTAAATGATGGGCAAATTACACGGATTTGTATCCCTTCAAGAATTTACTTAGCTTATATATCATTTTGAGCCAACTGATCCGAGGCACAGCAAAATTTACCGGTAAGGTATGAATTTTACGACATAACGTACTTTACTTCTATCCTCCACTTGCTTTGAGCAATAATATCCATCTTCTCTGTTTTTTGTCTTATCAGTTCGACGCAGACATCAAAACCTCTCCGACGTGTTTCGAAGACATGGTAAGAGTAAAACAAACCATCTACGGTTGCAGAGTGGAAAATCATTGATTATCGGCCAAATCAGACCTCATGGTTCAAACAGAAAAGGCCAGAGGATGATGAAATCGCGACATTTCCGGTATCTCCTGTGAAATTTACACCCCTCCCGATCACCACTCGTCCCGTAAAGAAAAGATCGAGGTACCGTCCGGGAGCCCTTGCTTTGAAAGAAATTCGAAAATTCCAACGAAATACGAATCTGTTGATTGGGAAAATTCCCTTCCGACGTCTTGTCCGCGAGATTTCGCAGAATTTTGCACCAGAATTGAGGTTTCAACCCACATCTTTGCTAGCCCTCCAAGAAGCCGCCGAGTCATACATCGTTAGTTTATTTGATGATGTGAATCTGTGCGCTCTCCATGCCCGTAGAGTTACAATTATGCCTCGTGATATACAGCTGGCGCTACGGATCCGTGGGGAAAAAGTTTGACTGAGACCACTTTCAAATGCAGAAATATGACTTATATCTCAATACTGTTATAACTGGTTTCGCCTTAATTCGATCATTTCTTTATGAAAACACTTTCGTATTATCTCACTGAAGAACTTCTTCTTTCAACTTTTAAAAAACATCTTTATTTACAAAAGGTTTAAAATAAATAATCCTCCTAATGACACCAAAATGGTATGTCATCTCAATACACACATCAAGGCATCTCATCTGGTTTACAAATCGCTTTCAGCAGGTGCACTGACGTCACTGGTAGATTTTCGCCGTGTTGGTGATCTGGGTGGGGGCTTGGGTGACAGTGGTGGAGATCCGTGGAGCGGTCTTCCCGGTTTTATCTTTTTCCCGCCTTAAGACCAAAAAGTATTCTAATTAGTAAAAATTAGTAACCCCCCTCCCGCCCCAGTTAAGCAGGAGGAGCCTTTGGAACAACAAACATAAAGCAGATATCAAATGGCATCGCTTAGATACGAACTTAATCTTCGAGTGATGATAATAATTTTCACGTGGTCGCCTCGCTCACTCATGAGTAAGAACAAACATGATAAGATCAAGTTGTATCAACAAGCACTCAAGTTATGTTTTGCATATTATAAAGATATTAATGAGAAAAAACACTTAAGAATATGGATGCTATACAACAATTACATTGTCGCGTGAGAGAGCGAATAAGCTAATTGTTTTATCATAAATTTACCAGTCGTTCAAAACTTCGCAAAAACACAAGCTGGGGTTTTTATTTTATTTTGTTAAAAAATGCACACTGTCAGGCCTTCTACTTTTCTCACTACCGTTCCATCACAAATGCTGCTATCTGAATTGTTAAACTACTCGCTATCTCTTCCGTGAAATTCCACATGAGATAGTGAATGGGGATAGTACCCACGTAGTGTGCGGTTGTAAACAAATTGAAATTAAACACGAGCCTGTCATTCTTTCAAGTTTTGAATGACTATTTAAAAATTCTAACTAAAACAATACGATCATGCGCTCCGATTTCTATTATATGCGTGATAGAAATCTCCAACTAAAAATCTAATTGGTAAATAAACCACTGCAGTAAAATTTTTTAAGAAACAAAACTAAATCATCATAAACAGAGGGAGGATTTTTTTAAGCCATCCTATGATTAAAAAAAAAAAAAATTAGTAAGAGATGTGATTATGTTTTTACCATCCGTCTTACGTTCTGATTGCGCAGTGTCTGCAAAAGAGGTTGAGAAAATAACTTCTTAGTGAGTAAAAAGTTTGAAACAATTACAGGCCAGGAATACGGCTAAACTGAAATTTAGAAATCCGTATCGGGACTGGGTAAAAGAACAGTATGGAAGCATGGTTCCCTACAAGTGAGCTTTGAAGAAACCTTCCCTAAAATACGGTTGTGGGATACGACAAATAACTAGCATCTAAAATGAAGGAAGGGAGGGGGGGGGGGGGTAGAGGGGAGGAAAAAATTACCTCCAGTCGTGAATACAGAAGTCACTCGCGTTTTTCCGCGCACGAGCCCGTTTATTCACACGCTCATGATTATTTTGAGTAATCCTTGGCTCCTTACGATTTTTTCTTTGTTCTGATTGGCTGATGTCATTATCATGATTTCACTTCACCACGGTCAAGCAAAAAGCGTTCTAATGAGTAAGCCGAACAAACCTTTAGGCCTGAGGTTCGCCACTCCATCAATAAAGTGAGACAGAACAGAGAGCTGCTCTTCGAGTTGTTGATGGATTTCATCAATCCTGCGTACAAGATAAATAGTCACACAGCCAGTAAACTCAGCCTTCTCTAGCTTGCTGAAAAACTTCCATATTTTTCAGCCGTCAAACATTCTTTTTCTGTTTTTGCCTTCTGAAAAAAGTTTTACCTTTCTTCTCTTACGCTAGTTTCTTCTTGAAGTCTTTCAATGTCCTCCAACATCAGAGAATCTCGTTCAGCATAAATCTGTTTTGATCAGGAAAGGGTTAAAAAAAAAATGGCTTAAAACTGATGCAAAGTCGGAGATACTTGTCTCTCTTCATCAATATTTTAAGCACTTACTTTATCAAGGTTGAAGTCCTCTCTCCAGCGCTCATGTAGCGTACCTGAAAGGCAGAACTTAAATTACCCTATTACTATCGAAGGGCAGTACAATCAAATACTGTTCGTATTTCCACGTAGTTTAAGAAGTGCTCCGATTTCACTTCACCGGGATATTACTCCATATAAAAATGTCTTTACATAGGTTTACAGCCCTTACAACCACGGATGTTTAAGTTGAATGCAATGGTAATTGCTGGAATTCTAGTTTATAAACCCAAAAGTTTGAGATTTAAAACGTAAGATGGAAGTAAAAGAAGACAGCTTTAGAGAACGTACCCCTGTATTCCAAAAGCTGTTTTTGCAATATCTCCCTTGTTCCAGAGTTTGCGATCATTGCTTTCCGTGTGGTTTCAATTTCTGCTACAAGTTGCCTAATGGCCTGGAAAAAGAATAAAATTACTCAAAAATCACTGCAAAAACTCTCGGTGGAGAAGTCTATAAAGGAACTTGACTGACGTATCGCTTATTTCATTTTTCACGTGAAATTCTTAATCAATCTCACTGTTTTCAGTAGTAAACCTGCAAAGGTTCACCATAGTCTACTGAAAGCTCATGAAATACAGGACTTTAAAATTGACCATTTTACGTATCAATGAAAGCGTATGGACAACTTAGAACATTCGGGCTCCCATATTTTAAAAGAGTGTGCGACGGAATTGCTAAAACTAGCGGCATAACTTGATGCAGGTGGAGGTGGTTAAAGACCAAATGATGAATGATTTTAAAAAATTCTGATATTGAGAACTTAGTCGAAGTTGTTCACAACCTCACATACCTGCTTAAATCTTGTTCACAACATGCAAAGGAAAAGCATTATGAAAACGTTAGTTGTTGTCTGACATCCTAATTTCATCAAAGCATTGTTTAACAAGTAATTGAAACATTAGAGGTCAGTAACGAAAGGAAAGGATCAGAGAACTGGGAAACCGGTTTTCATTTAAGTTTTCGACAAGAAAGACCAAAGAAGATAAAGAGTGGATTCGGACAGTAGGGAATGGGTGGTGGGGGGATATTTGGCAGTTTGCCTCTTCAACGTGACTCAGATTTAATGGAGAGATTTAGCACCGCTTTTACGTAATCCTTTGCCCCTAAGCATGCTTTGTCATCATACCTGTGGTTCTCTTTGAGTACTGCCCCAAGGCGCTGACTGGAAGAAAAGATTTCTGTTTCAATCTTCTTCACGTCCTCTGATTGGTTCTTGAGTTGTTCCAAGGCCTCTACTCGTCTTTCCTTCAGCTTTCCGTGTAAACGAGTCTGTGGTTCTGCCAATTTCTCTACATCTCTCTGAGCCCTTTGGACAGATGTCTCCATACTAGCTTTTTTGTTTTTAAGGTCTGTAATACAAAAAGTTGTGAAGACAAAAATAAAGTTTAAACGCCGTTATTGTTGCAAGCTTTAAAACTAATCAGCGTGTTTGTAATTTGTGTGACAGTCCTCCGCCAAAAATCCTTTACATGGACTGAGATTTTCATCAATACTAATTTTTGGCGGTTTACCCCAAAGGAACTCTAATTTTGAAATAAAAAAGGGAGTCTCCGTGCACGTATTGCAGTAGCAAAACCTAACTCCGAATAGCATCATCATAAAAACGTTTACGACTACTATCTCTACTCTGTACTGTGACTCAGTGTGTACTTACTTCACAGAAACAGAATTGACTGCCCCGCAGTCTCGGTGATTTCCTATCACAAGGATCCAATCAGAAATCGACGAAAAACTTCTTTTTGAAGCGCGGGAAACTGTTAATGACACGATTGCGATTGAGTCAGGATTTGCACCTCATCGGTTAGAGAATGGCGCGAAATTTCTAGACCAATCACAGGGCGAAGTGAAGTTAATTTACCAACGCAATCCTAGAATACTTTCGATAATCAACAAGATGTAATCATGACGCTACTAACCGACTATTTTCTTTTTCGTCGTATCAAACTCTTGTGTCCTCTCTTTGAACTGGACCTCGAGATCTTTGAAGACTGGCTGCAAAGGAAAGGACGGAAATCATCGACGAATGATGTACGGAATAGTCTTTATAACGAAGGAGAAACTCTAAATAATAACTGACTACAGTGGAAAGGTTTTAAGAAGAAAAACTCAAAAAGGCTCGAACACTCTCAAAAAAAAAAAAGAATGATAGAAGCGTATCAGGTGAAAACGGTAGTTAATGGAACATTTTCAAATACATGCATGGTTCTTAGATTCGGGTTTTCCCTTAAGTTTTTCAGTATCGGCCTGGGGGCAAAGTACGAATTCTTAGTATGTCGAGAAGGCCTGTTTCAAATCATCACACCTGCGAATTAGGCCGCAATAATAACACTAACGAGATATCCTTGGCAGAGAAGTTGCAAAAATATGACAAAGTTTCCCTTTCAAAATTCCTCTGATCCAAAAACTTGACATAGCCGTTTTTTAAACAAGAAAAACATATCAAGGGCGATGATGATTCGTGTAGATGAAATTGTACCCAAGCGATTGTTTCCCAGCTTGAGTCATCTTCTTCGTTAACGTAAAGTGAAAACTATTTCAAGTTTGTTAGAAACGTGCAGTCGTTTGGGAGAATTACAGCTGTTGATGCGAGTTAACATTCTTACAGTTTTATCCTGAATTACATCTTTCTTCTTGTCCCTGTCTTTCTCCAACTTATCAATGCTTTCCTGTATTCAGATAAAATTTGATGTTAAGGAGACTGAGGTGCCCCCTTGACAGTCAAGAGAACACACAGCTTACATAACCGCGTAACGTGAAGTTTTAATCTGACAACGCATGGAAAAGATAGAAAGAAGGTAAAAGAAATAGAAAAAAATTGAGAAATTCGCCAAGAAATTCCAAATAACACGGAAGAGGGCAAAGTGCGAAAAAATCATGTAAGAAAGTGTTTTTTTTTTTTTTTTTTTCTACCAGAGAATCCCAAAACTTCGCCCTCATTGGTTAGATCCACTAAATGAACTCTGTTGAGCCTCAACATAACTGGACACATAAAACCAGCTTACTTGAAGAGCTTTGAGCTGAGTCTTGAGCTGCTTTTGAAGCGTAGTGTAATCGTGTTTTGCTTTCTTCAGCTGTTTCTGTTTACTGATAATGTCCGCTTCGTCCTTCTTTAAGTCTTTTTGCAGTTGAGTTCCCTGCAGTAGAAAAACTATCTGTTTAAAGCATACACATTCGGGTCAAAAATACAACCGACTCAACGCAAGTACTGAAAAAGCCGCTGCCTAAGTCATCACTAGAATGGTTGGCGCGCGTTTTCAGAACCAATCACACGGCGACAGAGCTGAATAATGAAATGCTACGTCAGCATGTATGCGGTCAACAACCCGGGCTCAAGTGTCCTAGGTCTAAAAATTAGCGAAAATAGAGGAAAATAATAAGGGCTGAATTTTAAAACCGAGGAACACTGTTTTCGTCGAAGGCACTTTCCTATTTCAAAAGTTAAAAGGAGAAAATTAATTTTTGAAAATTTTTAGGGGGTGTACCAAATTTTTGGAGGTTGTTCTGTAAAAGAAAAGCGGCAAGGGAAACGACGCCTCGAAGCAACAGAATAGGAAATCAACCATGCGAACGACTCAAAATCCGTGTTTCCGCGCGAAAACCTGGCGCATGCGTATACGTTATTCAGCTCTGTCTCACACGGCAAAGAAAAGTCTAACCAATAAATTCCCCGATTTTCAACTCTGTAAATACGATTTTCAGACTGTATAGTACTCACACTTTCTGTCAATCTGGCATGCTCTGCTTTCCCCTCAGTAACCTTCTTGGACATTGTTGCCATGTAACGGCCATACTCGCCTTTGAACTCGTTCGACTCCTTGGTGAAATTGTCTCTTTTCGTCTGTAAAACTTGCCTATAAAACAAAGACAAAATTGATACAATATCTGAAGTATCTGCAGAAATATGACAACAACAAAAGCAAGATCTCACACCAGACATATATGGCGGACATTATCACTAATAAGAATACATAGCGAGATTGACATACAAGAAGTGTCAATACACTTAACAAATGTTAAACACCACAGCGTACACTATTGAGTTATGGATGCACGCGGGAGGTTGCTAAGCACGAAAGAAGCGTAAGAGTCGCTCGAGGCGATAGCCGAGAGCGACTCTAGCTTCTTGAGTGCTTAGCAAACCTCCCAAGTGCATCCATAACTCAATAGTGTACGCTGTGGTGTTTACCATTTGTTTTATAACATAACATTGATACATTGTAGCTAAAGAGTTCCCTTTTATTTAACAAATCTTACG